ACAAACAAACAAACAAACAAACAAAAAAGAATATGCCCATGGAAGCATAGGCCTTTCGTCCCCAGCACTGAGGAGGCGGGGCAAGTGAATCTGAGACCAGCTTGGTCTAGGTAGCAAATTCCAGGCCAGCAGGGCTACATACTGAGACCCTGTCTCAAGTAAATAAATAACAAATATAAAAAGAGAGAAAGAAAAGGAAAATACCTCCCAGACACATCCTCAGACTAACCTGATTGAGGCAGTCCCCAGTTGAGACCCTCGGGTAACTGGACTGTGCTGACAGCTGAGGCTCCCTAAGAGAAGCTGGAAACGGTGGTGCACTTTTGTAATCCCAGCATGTTGGAGGGAAAGTGAGAGGATCAGGGGTTAAAGGTCATCCTCAGCTACAGACTGGATTTGAAGCTAGCCCCAGGCAGGTAGACACTGTCTTAAAAAAAAAATCTTACTCATGCTACGCAAGAGTGAACCTTACAGACACCACACTAGCAGAAATAACCCAGACACAAAAGGAATTAAATGTGGCCCTTAAAGTAGCCAGGCTTGGAGGGAGAAACTGGTAACTGGTAACGCCGGCTTTGTGAGGTGAGAAAGGAGGGTGTTTGTTTAATGAATGCAATTTCTGTTTGGGAAAAGAACAAACTTTGGGTGTTGATGGGGATGACTGTTGCAAAACAGCGTGGTTGTATGTATGTCACCAAATGGTTATGGTTAGGATGGAGAGGCCTGCAATTGTGTATTTTCTAACACAAAGAGAAGGGACTTCGTCTATGAGCTGGTCCCCGGAGCATAGAGAGGCCGCAGGCGCGGAATAACCCCACCCTCCGCAGGGAAGAGGAGCCCCGGCAGCAGTGAATCTGGGAGTAGACTGCCCTGCTCCAGTCTCCGGATTCACCGGAGAGGTGCTGAGATGTCCTGGTGGAGAATTCTTGTCACCGTGTATCCCCTGCCCTGGACATGACTTGCCAAAGAGAGCTGCCACTGAAAACAGTGTCGGACAATTCATGTTCCTCGGGCGCCCTCTGCCGGTGGTTGAGAACTGAGAAGCTAGCAAGGTCGGAGACTGATGATGGAAGAGAATACCAAGCCTTGGGCTCCTGGGCAGGGACAGGGCTCCTTGCTAAAACATGACATTCAGATATGAGACATAAGTTGGGCCTGGTGGCATAGGCCTGCTGTCTTTGCTAGACCATGGACTGAAGAAGGAGGACCCCCAAAGCTGGCCCTGGACAGTTTAATGTGATTTTTGTTTGTTTTGTTTTTGTTTCTTGGTGTAGCCCTGGCTATCCTGGAATTCACTATGCAAATCAGGCTGGCCTCAAACTCAGAGATCTGCCTGCCTTCTGAGTGCTGGGATTAAAGCTGTGTGCCACCACTGCTCAACGTGATCTTAATGTGTCTCATGACAAAAAGTAAAAAGAAATGAAGATGTAGCTCAGCAGAAGAGACCCTGTCTAGAATTCCCCAGTGATGGGCTGGGGTGTAGTTCAGTGGTAGAGACCGTGCTTAGCATTTTCAAGGTTCTGGGTTTGATGTCAGAACCAGCCAACCCACCACAAATAAGACCACACCCATGGCCCAGTGCAAGAACTTTCACATGTCCTTTGATGTGTGTGTGCATGTAGGTGTGTGTGGGCAGGGTGGAGCCAGGTGTAATGGCTTTACTCTCAGTACCCAAGAAGCAGAAGCAGGAAGATCTCTGAATTTGAGGCCAGCCTGACTTGCATAGTGAATTCCAGAATAGCCAGGGCTACATAGATCTTGTCTTGAAAACAACTGTAGCAAAATAATTAGTTAAATAAATAAGGGTGATGAAATGTCTCCCCATGTCAATGCACTTGCCACTGAGGCTGACAACCTGAATGTGAATCCCAGGACCCACATGAAAGACAAGCATGGTAGACAGCTTGTGCTTGTGACTTCAGTGCTCAGGTTAAAGACAAATAGATTCTGGGGATTCATGGCTGGCCAGTTTATGGGATACCCTTTCTTTAAGAAGAAAGTGGAGAGTTATAGAAGACACGTTCAGAAGTGGGCAAATCTTCCCGAAGCACACAGGCACCACACTCACAGGGAGGCAGTCTGCTGTGTGCAGTGTGCGGTTCGGTGGCTGAATGAGGGGTTCCTGCTTGCTTTTTGGGCTGCAGCCATGCAGAGAAGGAGAGAGAAGTGAGGAAGAGGACATACTGATACAGCAGTGTCCACTCCCAAGATACCTGGGTCTCCAGGAGCAGCCAGCATAGGGAACAGTCATAGTTCTCCCAGACCGGCAGTTACAGTCCTGTGTTTATTTTTATTTTATGCATATGTGTGTTTTACTCACATGTGTGCGCCATGTATGCACATTGCCCACAGAGGCCAGAACACAGCCCCCATATGTGTGTGCACACATGTGTGTACACGCGAGTGTGGTGTGTGTGTGTGTGTGTGTGTGTGTGTGTGTGTGTGTGTGTGTGTGTGGGTGTGTGTGTGTACGTGCGTGTACGAGTGCGTGAGTGGAGGAGGTCAGAGAACAACTTGTAGTAGTTGGTTCTCTGATTCCACCATGCAAATCCTAGTGACTGAATTCAGGTCATCAGACTTGGCAGCAATTCTCTGTGTCATCTTGCTGGCCCTAAGCCTTTTATTTCATTTAACTTTTTAAAAATTTTACACAGATGGGTCTTTTACATTTATGTGTGTGCACCACATAAATGTGGCCCACAGAGGCCAGAAGAGGGTGTCACATCCCCTGGAACTAGAGTTACAAGTGGTTGTGAGTTGCCATGTAGGTGCTGGGAATTGAACCTGGGTCTTCTGCAAGGACAGCCAGTTCTCTTAACCACTGAGCCATTTCTCCAGCCCCCTTGTTCATCAGGGTTCTATTGCCGTGAAGAAACACCATGACCATGCAACTCTAATAAGGGAAACGTGATTGGAGCTGGCTCACAGTTTCACAGGGTCTGCCCATGGCAGGGAGCATGCAGGCAGATGTGGTAGCTGAGAGCTCTACATACACTTCCTCAGGCAGCAAGAAGAGACAGCCTATGGGCCTGGCTTGAGCCTCTGAAACTTCAAAGCCCACTGACACACTTCCTCCATCAAGGCCACACCTCCTAGCCCTTTCAAATAGTGCCACTCCCTGTCGACCAAACATTCAAATGTATGAGCCTATGGGGGCCACTCTTTTTTTTTTTCCATTTTTTTTTGAGGGGGGTTTTTGAGACACGGTTTCTCTGTGGCTTTGGAGCCTATCCTGGAACTCACTTTGTCAACCAGGCTGGCCTCCAACTCACAGAGATCCTCTTGCCTCTGCCTCCCGAGTGCTGGGATTAAAGACGTGTGCCACCATCACTTGGCCAAGCAGGCCATTCTTAATCAACCACCACACCTCTGTCTTTTTTTCTGAGACAGAGTTTCACACTGTAATCTAGACTGGCCTCAGATTCAAAGCGGTCTTCCCCCTTAGCCTCCAGAGTTCCTCCTGTTTTCCCAGCTGGCTTCAAACACAGTGCTGCCATTGGGGGTGTGGTTCCATTCCCACCCCTTGGCAGACCTTCACTCCCAGCCAACCTTTCTGTTCTCTTGGTAGGTACCAACTGGATGATTGAGATCCTTTGCTTAATCCTGAAAGATGGGGACCCCTCATGGATCCGTTCTGAGCCCATTTGGCAACGTGCACCCTGGTGCGAGACCATCATAAGCGCCTTCAGCCTCCCAGACCGGCCCAGTCCCCGCCTCATGAGCTCCCACCTTCCCATTCAACTGTTCACAAAGGCCTTCTTCAGCTCCAAGGCCAAGGTGAGGGGGGTGGGCTGTGGGTGAGGGGGTAAAACTGACCAATTGAGTAGCTGCACAGTGAATACACACTCGAACATGTGACCTGTGGGAGTCACCTTTTAAAGGGGAATAGATTCTAGGCTAGATGTGGTAATGTGTGCCTGTTACTCCAGCACTTGGAAAGCTGGAGCAGAAGAGTGGTCATGATTTCCAGGTCATCCTAGGCTACAGAACAATACCCTATCCAAAAAAGAGCCGGACATTGGTGGTGCACGCCTTTAACCCCAGCCCTCGGGAAGCAGAGGCAGGCGGATCTCTGTGAGTTTTAGGCCAGCCTGGTCTCCAGAGCAAGTTCCAGGACAACAGGGCTACACACAGAGATCCTGTCTTGAAAAACAACAAAAATAACAAACAAAAAAAGCAAAACCACAGAATTGACAGAGGGGCTAGGGGACCAAGAGGCTAAATTGGTAAAGCAGCAACCTGGCTAGCATGTGAAGCCCTGGGCTACATCCCCAATACCACACAAATAGTCATGCTGGTGCACACTTGGTTTTGTTGCTGCTGTTTTTTCCAAGACAGGGTTTCTCTGGGTAGCCCTGACTGTCCCAGAACTCGCTCTGTAGACCAGGCTGGCCTCAAACTAGGAGATCTGCCTGCCTCTGCCTCCCAAGTGCTGGGATTAAAGGCATGCACCAGGGCCTGGCTAACACACAGTTGGGATTCCCTGGCAGAAACAGGAAAGACAAAGATGCCATTGCCCAGGCACAGGGGAAGAAGTTGTGGCTGGATCAGGTGTAGGCCAGAGGGAAGGCAGAGCTGGGCTGGTGCTTTACTTTTGTTTTTTGTTTGTTTTTCTTAGATTTTTTTTATTTTTGTTTTCAAGAGGCTTCGGTGTGTACCCCAGGCTGGCCTTGAACTCACAGAGATCCACCTGCCTCTGCTTCCCAGTCAGTATGTCATGTCATGATCTCCCTCGTCTTGACTTCCTGGCCTTCCTCCTCTGTGTTTGTTTCCAGAAACCAAACTGGCTCAGAAACAGCCCTTCCCTGACTTCTGATGTGGCTGGAGAAAGCCCTGTCCCTTAGGATGAGCTGGGCTGAGCCTACCCCACAGGGTCAGAAGAGGGGGAGCAGGGCAAGCGGCCTGGGATGGGTCCTACTGTACCTGACACCTTCCCTCCCCACTGTCTGTACACAGGTGATTTACTTGGGCCGGAACCCCAGGGACGTTGTGGTCTCCCTCTATTATTACTCTAAGATTGCAGTGCAATTGAAGGACCCTGGTACACCTGACCAGTTCCTTCAGGATTTCCTCAAGGGAGAAGGTGAGGACTGGGAAGGGACAGCCAGGAAAGAGATGGGAGAGACAACAATTAGGGAGACAGAGATGGGGAGAGATGGAGGCTAGCAGAGAGGTGGACAGACAGACAAAGAGGCAGAAGAGGAGAGATATAGTCCCTTTTTGCTTGTCAGCTGTATGGATGGTGGCAGGAGGGTGGACCGCACAGATGAGAGCTGGCTGGGGTCGGGAGGGTCTCTGACCTGGCGCAGAGGACACGGTGGCCTGTGTGGCCTGGTCCATGTGGCCTCACACACCCTCCACGCCTGCAGTGCAGTTTGGCTCCTGGTTTGACCACATCAAGGGCTGGATCCGGATGCAGAGCCACGAGAACTTCCTGTTTATCACCTATGAGGAGCTGCAGCAGGTTCGTTTGGTGTATGTCCGTCCCCCTCCTCCCTCACCACATACTCCTGGATGCCTGCCAAGCCTTGTACTGGGGAAACAGCCCATGGCAGTCTGGGGATGAGAAGTGGGTGGCTACAGGCAGATAGGGCAAATCAGCTCACAACCAGATAGGATGGACTCATAGAGAGCAACAGACTAACAAGCGGCAGGAGAGTACAGCCAGAGCAGCCAGAGCAAAGGCCCTGGGGAAGCCCCCACCCACTCTCACCTCCATCTCTCTAAGTCTCACGTAGCCCAAGTATCTGAGAATGACTTTGAACTTCTAATTCTCTTGTTTCCAACTTCTGAGATTGCAGCAGTGCACCACCATGCCCAGTGCATGCAGTACTGGGTAGGGACAAACCCAGCTCTCAAGTGCTTGTTTATTTGTTGTGTTGAGATAAAGTTTCTCTGTGTAGCTCTGGCTGTCCTGGAACTCACTCTGTACACCAGGCTGGCCTTCATCTCAAGAACTTTCTGACTCAGCTCCACCAAGTACTAATATTACAGGCATATTCTGTAACTGTCACCTTTTTCAGCTTTGGGGATTGAACCCAGGCCTTGTGCACATTAGGCAAGTGCTCTACAAATGAACCATAAGTCCAGGTCCTCGCTGGGAAATCCTAGGCAAGAGTTCTACAACCTTAGCCTTTGCATTATTTTTATTTTAAGAGAGTCTCAGTAAGTTTCCTAGGCTGGTCTTGAATGGTTACTCCTCCTCAGTCTCCAGAGTGATGGAGATGACAGGCTTGTGTCACCAGGTCTCACTTCTGGAAACACCTTTTTGTAGTTACAACTATAGATTCTCAGCACACAGGGTATCTGCAAACCAATGAAAAGGCGGCTCTGTGGGTAGCTCTGAGTATGCCTCGCTCTGGTGTGCTGTGCCTACCCCAAGCACACCCCAGCCTTGTCTCAGCGAAACAAGAAACCCTGTCTTGAAAAACAATAAGCCAGGCATGGTGGTGCACACCTTTAATCCCAGCATTCAGGAGACATAGGCAGGGGGCTCTGAGTTCAAGGCCAGGTCTACAGACTATGTTCCAAGACAGCCAAAGATACACAGAGAAACCTTGTTTCAAACCCCACCCCCACCAAAAGAAAAGAAAAATAACAACAAAAACAAGCAAACAAAAAGAGTTGGCAAGTTGACTCAAAGGGTAAAGTCACTTGCTACCAGGCCTGACAATCTGAGTTCAATCCCTAGATGAGGAAGGAGAGAACTGACCCCTTCCATTTGTCCTCTGACCTCCACATGTACACATAAACACACACACACACACACACACACACACACACACGAATGTGATGAAAAATTTAAGCGTATATTATACATACATATACACTTAAAATAGCATAGCCCACCCATTTTGAGCTGTGAAAATGGTCATTTTTTTAGGTTCACCCTGGAAAGTCCTCACCACCATTCTAAGGAAGAAATGTACCTTGGCACTCTGGAGCAAGTTAGGAATTTGCCAAAGACACACAGCAATTCCCTGAAGCCCCCATATTTTTTCCATCCTGGTAATTTCTTCTGATGGAAAGTTCTGGAAAAGGTTTCAGCACCATGTCTTTCTACCTACATCCAATCAGGTTTTATTCTCCAAAAACTGGGCCATGGAACCAAGCACAGCTTCTGGGCCACTCCTGGGGTGCCTGGCACCGCCCACATGTGTGTTTCTGGGACAGACCGGTGGCTCAGAGAAGAAAGGGTTATGAAACAGGAATGACCTGGAAAAGCAGGCTGTGGGGCTATGTACTGACCAGCCATGCAGAACGCTGCATCCCAAAGATGGCTGTGAGGTTGAGAGGACCTGGGGCTTGGGGCCTGAGTCTGAGCTTCCGGGCTATGTGACTTTGGACAAGTATCTTGCTATCTCTGGACCTCTGTTTGCCAACTAGGTTCAAAGCTGATGGCAGGATCAGCACAAATGTGAATGAGGACTTTGGGTCACAGTCTGGTTCCTGGCACTTGAGCCAAGTGTCACAAGGAAGATGGCAATTGAGTTTATCAGTGGCAAAGAGCATATCAAGAAATCTTGTGCTAAGATGTGGAGGTGGGAAGTGTGGGAAGGAGGGGCTCACACCAAACCACTCTGTCCTTGAAAATCAGGCCTGGATAGACTCTGTCCCACATTCTGGGGAGTCACTGAATCGGGGAAGCTAGGGAAGAGTGGCGGAACTGAAGGGCTAGGAAGGAGGCTGGAGCAGGCAGCCTCGGAAAGGGCTTGCAGACGTGAGGGTCTGCGAGAGAGAGGATGTGATGTGGGCTAGGATAGGGATATTGGGGATCTAGAGATGAGGACACGGGAAAAAAAAAAAAAGGCATGACAGGTATCTGGGCTGAGGCAGATAGGGTAGGGTAAACCCTAGAGACCGGTGCTGGGATGTTGGGAAGGGTCAAGGAGTCTCTCCCACAACTGTCCACTTCTGACATACAACAGGGTTCTCTGTAAGCTGCAGGGCTGACCTCTGCCAACTTACACTCCCCCACCCCCTGCAGAATCCTCTAGAATCCTGGAGGACAGGGAGGCCCAAAGCTTTGACTTGGAGGTGGGGAAATTGAGACAAAGAGTCAGGAGCCCCTCCAGTCCACCCAAAGTGGTCCCCACTCTACCGATTATTCCTCTTTCCACCCCAGGACCTTCGAGGCTCCGTGCAACGCCTCTGCGAGTTCCTGGGCCGGCCACTGGGTGAAGAGGCCTTGAGCTCTGTGGTGGCCCATTCTGCTTTTGGTGCCATGAAGGCCAAAAAGATGTCCAACTACACACTACTGCCAGCCAGCCTGCTGGACCACCGCCAGGGGGCGTTCCTGCGCAAAGGTACCACTGTGTGCTTCTAGGTAGTTCATAGCTTTGGTGGGCCTTTATTTTTCCAGATGCCATATGGAGTGTACAGGGTCACCTAGCCTAGTCTTCACTCTTAGCAAGAGGTCTGGCATTCCAGGTTCCTGCTTGCTAACCTCCCTCCATCTGGGTGTCTCCCTGGAACGAAGCCTCCTGAGTGCTTCCATATCTGGGTTCCCAGGATCCTGTGTATTATACAGAATAATTAAGTATTTAGTCGGGTGTAGTGGTGCTCACCTACCAAAACCAGCCACACAGAGTTGAGGCCAGCTTGGACTACTTTAGACTCTGTCTCCAAACAAAGCAGGACCAGGTGGTCCAGGCCGGTCCCTCATCTCCAGGCCCTGTTGCCATGTGGTTTCATGTTCTAAATTCCAAGAATTGGGAGTGAGGATATCTAGGTATATCAGTCCCCCTTGGGGAACCTCCTGGCCTCACCAGAGGTGACATGACATGTAACTAAAATTCAACAGGCTATTCAAATATTTCTTTTCCACACAGGCAAGGGGTAGACCCTAATAGTCACTGTGACATGAGGGACCAGCACACACGATGGCATGCTTGTGGGGCATCTTGCTGAGATGAGGCAGCTCAAAGGCTTTGGAAACCTCAAACTGGTCCATTTGTGTACAGCCTTCAGAGTGCCTGGTCCCTGGGGTGCTCTGGCCGTCAAGTCACATGGCTAGAGGCCATGTTGGGTACCTGAGAGGTACTATGTGCTGGAAGCAGCAGCTCCTAGGGGAGGTGACACACAGGTTATAAAGTGGGTGTTTGGGTGCTAGGAGGGAAGTGAGTTCCCAGAAGAGATCTGGGAGGCCACAGGTCAAAAGGACAAGGCTGACAAGAGTCACCTAGATGTGAGAGAAGGAGGCAGTAAGCATGGGGGCATCTGGTTAGGTGGCA